CTCTCTCTCTCTCTCTCTCTCTCTCCAACTTGGGCGGAAGCCACCCAAGCTCTTTATACGGCTAGCAAGCCAATCGCTAGCCGCCACGTGTGCCTATATTAAGATCGGCCAATAATGTGGCACGAATCTAAATACAAATGGCGGGAACTCCTTTGCACCATGCATCTCCAAGATGCAAAAGACATGCACCATGCAAAGAAGGCTACAAACTGGTGGGAAATACTCTTTTTGCACGTGGGTTCTCTATTGTAGCAGAAAACTCTACCGTGCAAAGGAGCTGCAATTTGGCGGGGACATAATTTAGCGGTGCCGAAGCACACAAAAACAAAAAACCACAACTTTGGGTTGTGACAGGAAGAAAATGAATGATTTTTGCCCAGTGCAGGCCTTTGCACAATTATCCATGCCTTTGTTAGACTGGATATCTTCTACCTGACACCATACCTTGAGAACATTACTACTAAAATTAACACTCAATGTCCCAGCCTTCTTAGTAGAGCTGTCAGGCTATTTATTTATTTATTTGACTTCCATGCCACCCTTCCCTGAAGACTCAGGGCATTTACAATAAAAAGCAAGATAAAGGATACAAACAGATAAAATAGTAAAATAAAATAATAAAAGTGATAAGCAAACCACAAATTCCCCAAACAGTACCCCAAAATGTAACTAAAAAAGTGTTCAGAATACTGTATTTACCCAAATCCAAAACAACTTTGAATTTAAAATGACCATCCCTCCCAATAATTAGACACTATACATAAAGAATTATAATATTGAAGGGTCATCTTAAATTTGCCCCCTTTACCACCGAGGCAGGGAAAGCTGTAGCAAGGGTGCAGACAGTAAGGAGGCAAATGGCAGGGAGGACAGGTAGCCTGCCCTCTGCCCCTTGCCTCCCTTCCTTTCCCTTGGCTACTTGTTCCCCCATCCCCCTGCCAATTGCCCCAGTCTGCTACTGTTAATCTATGCAGTGGCTCTGACTCTAGCTCTGGCCCTGGCCAGGCAGTGGCAGCAACTCCAGGCCCAGCCACAGCCAGGCAGCAGCTCCAGCCCTGGGCCAAGGCAGGCAGCAGCTGTGGCTCCAGCTTCCACCCTGGGCTTGGGTTGGAGCCAGAACTGCAGCTACTGCCTGCCTGTCCTGTGCCAGTACTTGACTCCAAGATGAGACTCCCGTCCATGTTGAATTAGGGAAAAAACCTTGTCTTAGATTCAAGTAAATATGGTATTTAAAATCCTGATAACCAGAAAACTTGATCCCCATTGACTTAAAAATGAAGACGTTCTCATCTTTTTCAAAACATGCTATAAAACATCGACTTTATGCTAATCTATGTTCATTATACTGTTACTGCATCCTCCAAAACAGCCATCTCCATTTCATTCATCTATAGCACCTTACTTGACACCTAAATATTAAATTTTCGAAGGCAGGGACTACCCCCTGTTCCCCTGTGTTACTTGTTTTTCCATACCTAGCACAAATGAATATAGCCAGATATATAATGGATATGGATTTGCCTACCGCAAATTAATAAAGGTTCAACAACACATTAAAGAGAGGTTATCACGACGCTTAATCAAGATGGGGAGACTTTATCACAATCCTTCTATATGTTAGATTAATAAATGATCTCCTACCACATCAATATTTATTCTACTACTTAGGTTATGCTTGATAGTTTTCCTTCACATATATACATCAATAGTGTTAGAAAGCTAGTTGAATTTTTTAAATTAAAACTCACAAATATATTGTAAGATACAATGCTGTTCTCATTCAGGTTTCTATTTTTTAAATGTCAGAACCTTTGACTTTCAGCTGTTCACAGACGTGTTATGAATGCACAGTCTATATTACCTACTGCAATCAACTATTCTGTGTGATCTAAGAGTGCACCATCAATCTAACTAGTTATCAAAATGACTGTC